AAGATTTTGCACATAAAAATTTTTAAGCTCCTCTTTAGCTCTAAATCGTATGATATTTCAGCACCTATCTTATAGTGTGTGTAGTTTTTGAAATTAAATTAAAAGGTGCTCGGAGTAGAACAATCGCCAATAACAATATCAAACTTCATTGAATCAACAAAATCCCTCTTTCACACATTGTCATTCATCATAATGCAGCAGACAGAGTAAGAAATATGAAAGAATAAAACGAGCAATTAGCGCTCACACCTGCCTCAATAACAAACAAACAAACAACACATTAGTTTAACAAACATTATAACAACCATGCAAGCCTATGACAATTGAGCGCTCAACACAATCAACACGCACGTACACAGTGCACACACACATACAAACATGTACACACGCACGCATACAAAACCTTTGCAACTAACAATAAAGTACACACCAAACAACAAAGGAAAAGCTCAGCTAGCAACAAGAATAACAAAAACAGTTATAATTATGATAACAATAACAAAAATAATAATGTTAACAAACAATGCATTATCATTGATAGTTAATATTATCAACATCATTATCACTTTCAGTATCAGCAGTAGCACTAGCAGTATAAGTAGCAGTAGTAGTAGTAGCAGTAGTAGTAGTAGTAGTAGTAGTAGCAGTAGTAATAGTAGCAGTAATAGTAGTAGCAGCAGTAGCAGTAGCAGTAGCAGTAGTAGTAGTTAGTAGCAGTAGTAGTAGTAACTTAATCAAGTGATTTATTGAATACAAGTATTGTTGTAGACAAAAATGCACAATAATACCTAACAATAACAAGAAAAAAGTTTGATATAAGCTTTCATTCTTATTAATGTTTGTCATATCAAATGTGGATTTTGATGTGTTTTTTGAAATGAAACGAATCACATCTCGTCTAGACAGTGCCAGGCAGCCAATGATAGATACCTCGCGTGGTTAATAATGATGTATTAATTCGAAATATCAATATTCGATAGTGAATTCAGCCATTCAGCAGTAGTAAAATCATCGCGAATGTTCATTCATTTTGCTTTGGGGAGAAGAAACTTAATTGCGTTCATTTTGAAGTACGTAGAGTTTGACAGCTGAATATTTTATACGCAAACATATATTATAAATATACGCATAATTTGATACGCAAACAAATTCTATTTATTATGAATAATAAATATTAATAATAATAATATATAATATATATTAATAATAAATAATAATATTATAATATTTTATAATAAATGAAATTGAGAGTTGGATTGAGATATAAAATAAAAAGAGGGTAGGAGACAGGCCAGATAAAAGGAAATCGGTTTGACGTCATTGTAGGCAGGTAAAATTATACAAAATAGAAAAAAAATTGAACAAAGTTGGTTGTGGGTGAAAAAAAATGTAACCGTGGGTGGTTGCTGGTGTATTTATGAACATAGATGTACCGTTAAACGATGACAAAGATGATAATTTAAAAAAAAAATCAAAACTTAATTATTTAAAAAGAATATTCTGCTATTCAAATTATTTAAAAATAAATGTCAATTGTTTTTTATAAATCGGTAAGAAAAGGAAAGTTTTTCGGTAGTCACGCTTTATAGAGTTCAGAATTGTTAACATCACTATCGTTATCATTATAACATGATAGTTAGTATCATTACAAAGTAACGATTAGTCTCATTAATACATAATGATAGTATCTTATCCCACAACTTTTGGTCATTGTCGCGTTCAGTTCATCATTATTTTCATCAGCATTTCGTGAATCAATTTAAAAAAGAATAGCAAAATGGAAAAGTTCTCAAGATAATAGAAGAAAAAAAGACAGAGAGAAAAATTAAAAAAAGAAAGGGAGAGAGATAGAGAGAAAGATTGAGAGAAAGATAGAAGTAAAAGTAGAAAACTAAGAGGAAAAGTAAAAATAGAGATATTGAAAAAAGGAAGAGAGAAAAGTGGCTGAAGATAATTGGGAGATGAGATAAGCTGTGTAGTGCGTAATCAGAAATAATCATTATTGATGCGTGCTTGTTGATATGATAGCTACATAATTGCTCTCCCCTCTACCACCACTACTACTACTACCGCTACTGCTGTTACTACTACTGCTGCTTCTGCTACTACTGCTGCTACTACTACAACTGCTGCTTCTGCTACTACTACTTCTGCTACTACTGCTGCTGCTATTGCTGTTGCTGCTTCTGCTACTACTACTATAATAACAACAACAACAACTACTACTACTACTACTACTACTACTACTACTACTACTACTACTACTGCTGCTGCTGCTGCTGCTACTACTACTACTAATGTGAGCTTCATCAATTAAAATATAATGAACAACAACATCTACCAATAACGATGCAAAATATTTCATATCCAAAGTTCATTTATAAGAAGAGAATTTTTAAATTAAGCGATAGTTATAAAAATTACAAATGAATGAAATAATATTAATTAATATTCCAATAAAAGTACAAG